TGAAGATGGCAGCTACAATTTAAGGAGTGACCACAAGCCACCAGCCACTGCGCAAAGCTCTATACAAACACCGCCAAATGTAATCCTAACAACAATCTGATGTGGTTAGTAAGAGCTCCACCTAAGGCCGATGGTCTCTGCTGCTTCTAGATCTAAATCCAAGTGGCCAGTGGAGGGACTGAAGTTAGACTCACGTATGTCACCTAACTTGCTAGTCTGTGTCTCTGGGGTGGAAGGACAGAAATAATTCAAGTCTAAGTGTGACATGTTAGCTTCTTTCTAGCTACTCCGCCTGCCACAAGCATGTGTTTATACTGACTCAGAATAGGGAGGGCATTCTTTAGTGGCTTTTGGTGCAGTAGTTAAGAGCTCGGCTGGTAACCAAAAGGTCGGCAGTTTGAATCCACCAGCTGTTCCCTGGAAACCGTAGGGGGCAGTTCTACTCTGTCCTATAGGGTTGCTATGAGTTGGAATCAACTCAATGAAAATGGATTTAGTTTTTTTGGTTAGGAGGCACAAACAGTTTGTGCTCTACTACTAACCTGAGGTTGGTGGTTCAAACTCACCCAGCTGTACAGTGGAAGATAGGCCTGTTGATCTGTTCTCATAAAGATTACAGCCAAGAAAACCCCAAGGAGCTTTTCTACTCTGTAATACATGGGTTTGCCATGAGTTGGAATCGACGCCATGGCAACTAACAATAGGAATTTTAGGGAAAGATCCGTTTTTAAGTCAGAAATACTTGACCACATGGTCCTGTCTAGTCTTTTCCCTTCCAAATACGCCAGCAGTTGCCTAAGGGGAGAAAGATGATGCAGGAAACATTTCCATGATTGCAGGTTCAAGGTGGCTGTGATCAAAGCCTCAGAAACAGGCTCATCGAGCTTTCCATACTGTGTTTCGTGGAAGACTCAGCCAGCTGGATGTCCTATCATGAAAGGAGTTCTGAAAACACAAAAGATTAGGAAAATCTGCGTTTTATATCCCCTTCTTGGAGTTACAAAATATCTTTCCTATGTTAAAGGCTCTGTGAAGTTCTTCAGGCCAGAAACCAGCCTCTCTTAGTTTTAATTCTACATTTCCCAAACTTAGTTGATCATGAGCCCATTTTTTTTGGACCACCAAACAGCCTATGGAGCTAGAGTCCGGTGGCAAACACAGTGGGGAACCCTGGGCTCTGTGAACACTGGCTGAGAAGCTTAGAAGTGTTCACAGCACAAAGGGCAACAGAGAGAGCATTGATTTCACTCTCTATCCCATGGCCTGCAGGCTGGGTGGCTTGGGTATGCTGCACAAGCCAGGGAGGCGAAGCTAAGTGAGCTGTCAAAGAATATAAAGGGTTGGAGTATGATTGCTCCAGCCCTGACTTATTATATAGAGCCTAGGGCCTAGAAAACAATTGCTATTTGGTGGAGACAGTTTGCAGAAGCAAATATAAACAATCCCAAACAGGGAGGACTCATCCAATTTGATCTAGAAGTCTTTGTGGCTCCAGGGGAAATGTAAAGAAGAGTCAGAAGCTACTAGTATCTCAGGCAGCCATGGAAAATGCACAAACTGGGGCACTCTGACGTTCTGGAGATAGGCCAGCCCAGAGGTGATGGAACACTGTGCGGGCCCTGAGTCAGACTGTCCAGAGTTCAAGAACCATCTCTACCACTGCCTCACTATATAACTCAGGAAAAATGGCACCACTTCTCTGAGCCAGTTTCCTCATTGGTAAACTGGAGATAATATACCTCTTGGGTTTGTTAGGAGAATGAAGTGAGCAACATTTCCCAAGGGAGTTTCCACCATGGGGCACCATTCCTGGTTGGTTCGAAGGAGTGTCTTGTTGCCCCAAATATTATTAAGGGTCCCCCAGATTCACTTTACCTAAAACTCAGCTCACTAACTTTCCCCTAAAATTAGTTCTCTCTCTCTCTCCTTTTTTAAATTAGTTCTCTTTTTTACTTCCCTGGTTCTCACCTCAGACACGCAAGCTCAAAACCACTGTTTTCTCCTCCCAAGTGATCCATCTAATTGCCAAACCTTTGTGATTGCTGCTTCAGCGGTGTATGCTTAGACAAGTCACTTAGTCTCCCTGGGCCTCCCTTACATCACCTATGCGATGAAAAGTAGGTGCTTAAACAGTGGTTTTCAATTTTTTTAGACCATAGAACACTTTCTACAAATAGCCCCCTAAGAGAAAGCCCAAGATCTAAAACCACTGGGCTCTACCACCCACAGATTCTGGGTCTGGGTTAGGGCCTGGAAATCTGTAGCTTCAACATCTTACCAGGTGACCCTGATGGGCAGTCAGCTTTGGGACCCATTGGTAAGTTCTTACATGGCTGGTGTCCAACAGATAGGTGAGCCGGGCACTGCCACTCACGCACCAGCTGCTGACGGCTCGAACCCATTTCTCTTTTCAACTTCAGATAAAGGTATGTAATCCTTGTACCTCCTGGGCTAGCTAATGTTGCTTAAAAGTATTCTTCTATGTTCAAAACTGACTTTGTACAGTTTAGGGTCCAGCTAGGACCCTTTGCCATGCGGACATGATTCTGTTGTAGGTTCCCAGCTGTGGCCAAACCACGGGCCCAAAATAAGGTTCAAGTGGCCAGCTTGGGCCTCTCCTGGCTGGGAAAGGGAAGTGATAGTAACCAAGGAGAGATAAGAAGGACAGAGAGGAAATGGGCAGAGAGGATGAAGGCAACAGAAGGCAGGGTGGGACACGGGCAGCAAGGCGTTAATGCTCCAAGCTGACTGGAACTGTTGACATCTGCCAGACTCCCTCATGGACACAATAGTACGTACCCCCCACCAGACAGCACACTATGAAGTTTAGTCACGTACCGTAGAGATGGGACTGGAATTCTCAGAGAAACAGCACTCAATGAATTTGACCAGTCCTTAATCTTGAGGTCATTAGCATCCCTTGGATTATAATAGAATCAGTCTCAGTGTTTGAAAGCAACTGGTGTTGCTAAATGGATTTTTAAAAGGAAATGTAAAGTTTTCAGACTGGCACCCAAAGATAGCTGGAGAATTCACAGGCAGAAAGGTGGGCAAACATGATTTGGCTAAAGACCTAGTGCTTAATGGTGTTCCTAGTAAGGATAGAAACTTAACAACTCTAGAATTATCCTGTTTCTAGATCTACTCCACAAGACCATGGCTTTTTGGCTTGGGGGGCATTTTAGGCACAATCAGAAGTTAGCAGGTAAGTGGGCTCAGCACTTAGCTTCTAGTTGCAAAATGTAAAGCTTAGGAAATGAAACACTCCTGTTAAAGGGAACATTTTCTTTTACTTACTACTAGTCTCTGAGAGGAGGCCTGGTTGCTCTGTGGTTAAGAGCTCAGGCTGCTAACCAAAAGCTCAGCAGTTTGAATCCACCAGCTGCTCCTTGGAAACCCTATGGAGCAGGAGGTCTACCCTGTCGTATAGGGTCACTTTGAGTCGGAATGAACTCAGTGGCAATAGGTTTGAGTTTTGTTGTTGTTGGTTTAGTCTCTAAGAAATGAATAAGGTTTACATTAAAAAATCAAGGCAAAGAAAAGATGTAGGTAGAGTAAATGTGGCAAATCTCCATAACTGCTGAATCTGGGTGATAGGTATGTGGTGTTTGTTGTACTCTTCTCTCTTCTTTTGTTTTGAAAACTTCCATAATAACAACAAGCAATTATGAACCTTTTCCTTAAAGACAACGAAAGAAATCACTGAGCAGGTGTTTATGAAGGCCCTAGAATATCTCTAAAACTGTACTGAGGGCTGAACTGAGGCAGAACAGTCTAGCTCAGTAAGCCTCTAATGTGCTTTAGAAATGGTTTGTAACAATTCTTCCCTGCTGTGGTCATTAACAAAAGTTTCACCTTTACTCATGACCTAGACTGGTGGTTTCCAAACGAAGTCTTTTTTTCTTTTAAACCATAAAATTTTTTGTTGAGAGAAACCGTCAGCGGAAGTCCAACATGTCAAATAGATAGAATGGAGCTGCTGGGGTGGAAGTGTGTGTGTGTGTGTGTGTGTGTGTGTGTGTGTGTGTGTGTGTGTG